GTTTTCAGGAACATTTTATCAGGCAAGGAACATTCAAGTAAATTACTTATTAGAACCCAGGTTAATGTAGAAAATAGGTTAACAATCCTGCTAAAGTAATTTGGGGGGCTGTTTGTTTAGAAATGTTTTATGTTATCCCTACTTTCAAATAATACCTTCATGCTTAAACTACCAGTGATTCAATTTAAATCTCAGATGGGAAAGTCCCAGCTTCGACATCCTAGCCTGCTCCTCCACTTTTTACCACACAATATAATAACAGGAGAGACAAGCTGATGATTGAATACCTAGTAGTAACACTGCTGAAAGAGCTAACCAGCAGAGGATCATTCAAGACAAAGAGCCACTTTGAGTAAAAGCAGGCCACTTGGCTGAATGACTAATTTACCAAATTAATGAGACTATTTAGGAACATTTAGTTTTGTCCTGACTTTGCTCTAGATGTTTCTCCTCAGATTCGTCACTCCTGCAATGTTTTACATGCAAATTAACGGGCTTTCCCTTAATCACAAGTTTATTGTCTTCTATTTTTGTGGATTTATAGAAACCCCTAAATCAGCATCTGAGGCCCTGCTGGCGAAGTGGTTAAGAGCTTGACTGCTAACCAAAAGGTTGGCAGTTCAAATCCACCAACCACTCCTTGGAAATCCTATGAGGCAGTTCTACTCTGTCGTATAGGGTTGCTATGAGTCGGAATCAACTCGACGGCAAAGGGTTTTTAATGGAAATCAGTATCTGCTACTCCTGAAAGAATTTTCCATGCTCAATTTACAGTATTTGGCTGAGAGTTTTCAGTGAGTCAATCAGTTTTTGGCAAACTGATCATTCAGAGGCTGACCTGAAAGCTGACTGCTGTATTTCCCATGGTGTCAATGAGTTTGTTTATAGGGGCCAACTATCTAGGTGGCACAGCAGTTAAGCACTCAGCTGCTAACCGAAAGGTTGGTGGTTCAAACCTACCAGCCACTGCTTCCGTAAAGATTACAGCTTTGGAACCCTGTGGGGGCAGTTCTACTCTGTCTTATAGGGTCACTTGAGTGGGAACTGACTTGACGGCAACAGGTCTTCGTGTAATAGTTCTAACTACTAACTAACTTCGACTCCAGGACAGGAATTTCCCATTTTAACCAGAATGAGGGTGAAGTAGTCTACTAAGTGAAAGTTACCATATATCTTGGGATTATCATGTTTTGCAGAATTAAAACATAAGAAAACATCCTTAGCTTTGAAGCAGTGAGGGAAAATAACATTTTCTTTTTAACAGCTTAGTCCTTCAAGATCTTACAGAGACTGAGAGTCAACATAAATTATAAGCATAAATTCTCACTGGAAAGATGACTGTTAAAGGTATAGGACAGTGGATTCTCTTTGCCCAGACTCACAGAAGTCAACTGGAAATGACCTTTTGGTAGGAATCATTCCCACCTGCATGCTGCTACACCAACCCCATCTCGGTTGAAGACAGGCCTGCCTGCACATGGGAACAGTGTGAGGGCAGAAGAAAGGCTGTGAACCCTTCACACCACCTTGTCTCCTTGTTCCTTTGGGCCTAGGAAACACAGAGAGTCCAGTTTCCAACATCGAAGGCCCATTACTACCATCATGATCATCATCAAGGCCTCCTGAAAACTTGGAAGTCTATATCAAGTATAAGGAGTCCTGGGGGTGCAATGGTTAAGCACTCAGATGCTAACCAAAAGGCGAGCAGTTCGAACCCACTAGCCACTCTGCTGGAGAAAGATGTGGCAATCAACTTCTGTAAGGATTAAAGCCTTGGAAACCGTATGGGGCAGCTGTACTCTGTCCTATGGGGTCACTGTGAGTCAGACTCGACGGCACACAACGAAGACGCGATGACACCAAGTATATTGGGGGAAAAATGAATATGATTTATACTGAGCATATGGGGGAGAAAGGGATGTAATTTCCTTGTATAAATATACACTTGAGCTTGGTAGTCAAGACTTTAATACTCACCTTTGACTGCTTCAAGTAACATCAAAGACCCATGACACACAGTGTTGGCAACCTGTCTGACTGACTTAATTAGTTCCTGAATAATGGTCATAGGGTGAGCTGCCTTAAGTTGAATGCTCATTTCCTATAGGTGCAATGTTGTTTAAATCAGGGTTCTGTTCTTAGAAATCCTCTTAACATCATAAAACTAGCAAAACATCTTAAAAAAATAAAACAAACATACAATCTTACAAAGTTAAGTCTGTAAAACCAAACATGGAAAAAACTATAGCATAGACATTTCTTTTGGGAATTCTTCTACATGGGCAATACTAAGTCTTCTTAAAGTATGAGTCCACTGAAGTCTGGCCTGAATGACCATCCTTCTCTAGTAAATGTTCCTGAGGCAAGAACTAGGTAGATACTTCTTGCTGCAAGGATCTTTGAACTTTTAATGTTGACAACAGACTAAGAAAAAGTAAAGCCCCAGTTCTGTCATCTTTGTGATGCAGGGTTTAAACTAGGTGATCTCCAAGACTACTTCAGCATTAATATCCTGGGACTACGTGGGTGCACAGAGGTCCACATGTGCCTTCGAATAATGCCACTGTCACTACGGTATGGACTACCGTGTTGGGACTGTCCATTTTAGCCCGTCCTAAAGTATTAATATCTTTGAAAAAGATAACTGTGTACAAAGTGAATTTAAATTGGCATCTTTCAGAAGAGAACAAGAAAGCTTCCAAACTGTTCTGTTTCCCCTGTATTTATCTGTAGAAAACTAGTATTGAAGGGCATATCTATTACCGTTCTACTGATTTTGAGTGGAACATTATCCAGTTTACTTTAGGGGCCAACCTCCAGATTATACACACTGTACACTCTTCCTTGAAAGCACTGCTTCATGCAATAGACACTAACAGCAATTACTGACAGCAGTGGTTCTCAGAATGTGGTTGCTGCTCTCGCTGTATCAGCATCACCTGGCAACTTGATCGAAATACAAATTCTTGGGCCCGACAATGAATCAGAAACTCTGGGGTGGGCCCTGTAATTTATTTTAACAAGTCCTTCCAGGTGACTCAGATGCACACCAAAGTTTGAGAACCACCGCCATAAAGCATCTACTTTCTGCTAGAGGGCATACTACAGCAGAAGTCAAGATACATGGGTAGATGATATGGTCTGAGATGAAGCTGTAGAAGTTTAGGATAGGAAAGCCTTTTTGGGGTCCAGGAGTTTCAGCTTTCTTAGGTTACCTTCTTTCCTTACCCTAGTGCCTCTGGCTGATAAGTTATCTTTCAAGTGAAATAAACTGTAGGAACTAGAATCACTGTGATGTGTTCTGTGTTTGAGGACTGTTGCATCTCCCCACAGCCACACCTGGACTTGATACGAAAGCAACCATCAGAGTGTCAACGGGGATCTTAAACTTCTACTACAGATGCCTGAAGGAATTTCTAAGAAGATGTAGTGGACATTTACTGTTTGTCCCAAACACTTGCTCTCCATCAGAAAGAGAACTGGTTTGGGGATTCATCCTTCCCCACTCTCAGCCCATGTGAAAGATGGGGGCAGAGGCTCACCCTTCATGCTTAGAGCATATGACCCTGACACTGGCCTGGCCAGTCAAAGCCCTGCACCCCTTAGCACGGTAACTGGTCTAATCAGAGTGAATTCTCAGGCCTTTTGAGGGAGCTAGTGAACAGAGATGCCTCTGAATTGTGTGTTGGCGAAGAATAGCTGAATATATCATGGAATGCCAGAAGAACAAACAAATCTGTCTTGGAAGAAGCACAGCCAGAGTGCTCCTTGGAAGTGAGGATGGCGAGACTTCATCTCATGTACCTTGGACGTGTTATCAAGAGGGATCAGTTCCTGGAGAAGGGCATCATGCTTGGGAATGAGGAGGGTTAGCGAAGAAGAGGAAGACCCTCAACGAGATGGACTGACACAGTGGCTGCAACAATGGGCTCAAACACAACAACGATTGTAAGGATGGCACAGAACTGGGCAGTGTTTCGTTCTGTTGTACGTAGGGTCGCTATGAGTCATAGCTGACTCAACAGCACCTAACAACCACTGTGAACAGAGACAGCTCTTTTCTGCTGAACCTCCAGGCAGATGCTAGGCTAAAACAGCAGCATCCATCTTACCACCATCTGACTGCTATTCTGAGAAGGCAGAGCTGACGGCTGGTGACAAGCCAAGTACTGGGAACCCTCTTTGAGCCCTGAACAGATACTGCCATAACTGAAGCTAGAATTCTCTGTGGACTTTTTAAACAATATAATTTCCTTTTTTGCTTACCCTAGTTTTAGCTGATGTTTCTGATCACTTGAACAGATCATAATTAATATACTGCTCTTGTGTTTTCTTTCCTCCCTCCCTCCATTCCTCTATTCTTTCCTTCTTTTGACAATTTTAAATTAAAAATACACCTGTCTCTAACCTCTTTCATTCCCTAAGTTATTCTATTTCCTGTTGTCTGTCTAATTTTACACAACACTGCTTTTCAAATCTTCCTGTTTGAAAACCATCTGTAACTCCCCACTATAATAAAATTAAATTCAAACATTTCAACATGACATTTGAAACTCCTGATATCTGGCGTTTTCTCAATTTTCCATATCTTCTACTTAGTCTCTCAATTCCATTTATTTTTCCCAAACATATCCAAGTATTCCTACTTCTTGTGAGGTAATGTTCTCCTCCTCTCTACCTATCTAATTAATTTTTAAAAAGGTCTAGCTCAAGTCCTGTCTCTCCCAGGAAGCCTTCACCTACCCCAGATGTGAATATTCTCAGAGCTCCAGTTTTTGGGCATTGTATTATTAATTATCTTTCTTTGTACACATAAGCATTTTATCTCCCTAATCAAACTAATTGGTAAGAGGATGAGAATCAAGTCTCAACTCTTATATCCTTGTTACCAAATGAAACAGACTTGATAAATGTTTCAAAAAATCACTGTTAAATATTCTACATCTGGAGTATCATTAGCTCTAGCAACCTCAAAACTGTGAAGCAGTTACAGATCTTACCTTCAAATCCAGATGAACTACATCATGAGTATGTAGAAAGTGAACACCTTCTAAAATCTGCCTCATGAGTCTTCGAACATCTTTTTCTTTAAAGGCTTCGTCCCTGTCTGCAACACACTGGTCAAAGATTTCACCTCCAGCAGCACTAGAGAAGGACAGAGCACATTTTCATTACAAAGGGAAATGACTAACAAAAAAAATTAGCCTTTTTTGTCCTTAATATTTATGCACATTAAGTATCTTTATATAAATAAACTATAATTGGAGTGTGTGTAAACTTTTTGGTCCATCTACATGCTTAAATCCATTTTTTATTTTTCATAAAAATGTACAGTCTCTAACATGGGCTAGGAGCATTTCTAAAGCTGGATAAAACATCAGTCTAACAACTCCAAGAATTAAGCTTTAATAACAAAATATATTAACATACCTTCAAGTAAAAACTTCTCAAGAATTTTTGGTTATAGAATATACAAAAATATTATTTTTGTAAAAAAAAAAACCCAAATAATTAAAGCAAAAGCCTTTCACTGAAGACCCTTTCTCCAATCCTGGCACCCCTTTTAGAAGTCAGTCCTGTTATCGCTTTGGTATACTATATCCTTCCAAAGCCTTTTTATGTATTTAAATGCATTTAAAATATTAGTTTTATGGATTAAAAAAAAAAAAAGGTAACATATGATACATATTGTTCCACAACTTTTTTTCCTACTTAACATTTCTTAAGGAGCCCGGGTGGTACAATGGTTAAGTGCTCAGCTGCTGACGAAAAGACTGGTGGTTCGAACTCATCAGTGGCTCCGTGGAAGGAAAGACCTGGTGATCTGCTCCTGTGAAGACTACAACCTAGGAAACCCCACGAGGCAGTTCGACTCTGCCCTATAAAGTTGCTCTGAGTTGGAATTTACTTGACGGCACACACAACAACAACAACAATTCTTAGTCTTTCCATGATGGTTTTACACATCTATTTACTTTATTATTTGAAACTGTCGTACAGTATCTCAGTGAACAGATAAGCCATAATTTAACCATTCCCCTTTGGAGGACATTTAGTTTGGTCTAATTATTCACTATTACAAACAATGCTGTGATGAGAAGGCACGTTCATGTTTGTCTGCCCAGGTAACAGGAGTTCTCAAGGGTAGATACCTGGAATGACGCTGCCGGGTGGAAGAGGATGTGCATTTAACATTTTAACGGATACAGTCAAACTGCTTACCAAAAGAGCAGTATTAATTTATATTTTCTTCCACTCTCTGGCCAAAGCTTCTCAGTTTTGTTTTTTTAATAATCTCGCCGATAAGAGAAAAATCACTGTTGTTTCAATTTGTATTTCTCTTCGGCAGACATTATGTATTTAAAAAAAATCATTCTTACCATAAATGACAATCGATGGCATATCTTAAAATTTTCTTTATGCATTTAAAAAATTTTGGCTTGCCTCCATGAAGCTGACATAATACTAACATGAAATATATAATCCAAAACAACCATGTAACTATATCAAACAAAAGTTATTAATTTCCATTACATGTTAAAAATGTAGTGCTTTTCTTTTTTTGTTAATGCAGCCTATTTTCCAAAGTCTGTCCATATAATGAAACACAATTTTTCATTAAGACTGAATAAGAGCAGACTTAAATTTAGCTTAAAAGTTGCAGGTCATGAAAGTGAAAGAGGATAATGCACGCACTGGCTGATAGATTTACATTTTGGTTAAATTTATACAACTGCCTTTTTATTATATTTCATGTATAATATAAAAACTAATATTTGAAAGCATCAAAAATAATTTCTATGTAATTAACTGTGACTGGCTAGCACATATTCAGGCATAGATAAAGTAATAAATAATTCATAAGAAAGGAGATGGTAAACATTTGCAAGAAAACTCGAGAGTGAATTACTAACAGCCGAGAAGTACAGTATACTATGGATCTGATGAGCTGAAACACAACGCAGCATGAGCTGCGCCAATTAAGTCCCAAGCAGCACAGGCACACAGCCGTGTGCACAGACCAGCCAAGGTTTGCCAGGTACACTCAGAACCGTCCGTGCCCCTCAACTGAAACAAAGAGCTGAATTTTGGTTGAAAAAGTTTCTCAATTGCAGCTTATTGTCATCTGAGTCCCTTTAGCTCATTGCTACTATCTGCAATAAAACTTAACAGAGGTCAATTTACATAAATACTAGGGTTTCTTTAAGAGCAGCTATCATTAGTTCTTTCCACTATAATGTTTACCCATTCTTGCTTTAACAAAAGGGGTGCCTCTCTTTGTTCTCTCAACAATTTAAGTAGACCGCATAAGCACACAAAAAAAATTGCCAACTACACAGTTTTCTAAAAGTTTTCAAGAATGTACTCCAAATGCAGGCTGTAAGTTTGAAAAGGCAGCCTTGAATCACAGCTAAAACTACATACTTTACTGGTACAATGTACAATCATAATTTTACCCTGCTTAAATGTAAGCTTTACCCGTTAATGAAACTAATTGTCATATCAGGTAATGAAATGAAATGTAATTTTACTGAAGTACAATTTGAGATGTTAAAAGCATCTGTCAAGTAGGGTAACAGAGAATATAAGAATATTAACAAGCTTACTTCACACAAAGCACCTTCCCTTCATATGAAACCTAGTTAAGCACTAAGGGTTTTGCTGTGCCTCCCTTTAATTGTAGCAGGATGACTGCTAGTACTTTAACATTACCCAGAAACACAGTTCATCATCAAACATTTTACCAAAAATTCTTTATAAAATAATTCAAGAAATTTTAACTTAAAAAATTGTATACAGAAGCTATTTTTAACAAAAAAAATATTAAGAACTTTAAAATTTCAATTTTCTAAAGTTCCTGAGAAAGTTATGTGATAAGTATCTCCTGGCCAACATTATACATAGTCACATAAAGGAAATTTAATGGCTAAGAGTAACTGAGTTTCCCTGGCTGCCTGAACCTTGGCTAGAACACAGCTCCCAATCTCAGACACCAAATATTTTTTCTATCTAAATTAGCATTTCCATTTTTACCCTGCTTAGAGAGGGCCGGCTTGGATCTTTACTCCTTCACTATTCAAATTCAATAAATATTGATCAAATATGTTAGATAATGCGCTATGTATGAAGCCCTGGTGGTGCAGTGGTTAAGAGCTCAGCTGCTAACCAAAAGGTCAGCAGTTGGAATGTACCAGCCACTCCTTGGAAACCCTATGGGGCAGTTCTACTCTGTCCTATACAGTCGCTATGAGTCGGAATTGACTAGATGGCAACGGGTTTGAGTGTTGGGTGCTATGTACAGGGGATAGAAAGATGAATTACAAACAAGTATGTCTGAGCCTTCAAGCACTAGCAGGGGAGAGAAAAAGAGCTGCAGAAATATGCTTTGTGGTATGCTGGAGTCTTAGGCCAAACGCTTATATGCGTATGCACAGGATGAAACTCTATGAGGTCAGGCAAAGAACAACAGCCATGGAAATATAAGTTGAGCAATTCCCAGAGTTCACAGAGGATATGGGAAGCTATCTGAATTCTGTCCATCCAAAGTAGTAAAACTATGCCACACACTTGGGGCAATCAGCAGACCCCCCAGAAGGGTCATGCCTTTAATATTAAAGCAAAACTAGTCCTGGAACTGTCCTAACAAAGTTGATCCACAATTAAATTAAATCCTTGCCAAAACAAACTTTGCCAGTCTCTAATAGGGAACCATAAAATCCACTTGTGATGGTTAATTTTATGTCAACTGGGCTAGGATACGGCATCTAGTTGTTTGATCAAACACAAGTCTAGATGTTGCTAAGAAGGTATTTTCTAGATGTGACTAACATTTATAATCAACTGATTTTAAAGAAAGGAGATTGCCCTTGATGAAGTCGATGGACCTCATCCAATCAGTTGAAGCCTTAAGTGCAAAAAATCGAAGGTTTCCCGGAAGAAGGAATTCTGCCTCAAGCCTGTAACATAGAAATCCTGCTGGAGTTTCCAGCTTCTGGCCTGCCCTACACAATTCAGACTTGCCAGCCCCTACAACTGTGTGAGCCAGTTCCTTAAAATAAATCAATCTCTCACTCTCCCCTTCTCTCCTGCTGGCTCTGTTTCTCTGGAGAACCTTGACTGTTACACTGCTCAACACTGTAACACTGAAAATGTATGGCATCCTATTAAAAATACTAAACATCTGAAAAAGCCACAAATTGCAACCCACAACCAAAAGAAAAATCATCAATAGAAACAGTCCCAGAAATGACAGTAGTAGTCAAAATGGCTGGCAGATAAGGACCTTGAAAGAAGTATTATACAGACACTCAAGGATTTGAAGTAAAACATGAACATAGCAAGATGAGAAATGGAGGGTATGAAAAGAACTACATGGAAGTGAAGTACACAGTTGCTGAAATGAAAAATTAATTAGATGGGCTTTACAGCAGACTTGGCACTGCAGAAGAATCGGTGAACTTTAAGACAGCAATAGAAACCACCCAACCTGAAATACAGAGATCCAACAGAAAAGGACTGAACAAAATAAACAGAACCTCAGTGACCTGTGGGAATGGTATCAAGCAGTTTAACACACTGTAATTGGAGGAAGGAGAGAAGAAAGGCAAGGCAGAGAAAATATTTGAAAAATTAATGGCTGGAAAATTTCCAAATCTGATAAAAACTATAAACCCAAAGATGCAAGCTCAGTGAATCCCGACTAAGATAAACACAAAGAAACCCTCACCAAGGCACATCATGATGAAATTGCTAAAAACCAGTGATTAAAAAGACACATTTATAGGAGAACCAAGGTTAGAATGATCACAGACTTCTTGTCATAAACAATGGAAGGCAGAAGACAATGGAACAACATCTTCAAGCGCTGAAAACAAAAACAAAAACCATGTCTATAGAATGCAGGGTGTGGGGTTGGACAAGGACTAGCAGGAGAAAAAGTAGAAGTCAGACAGGAAGCATAGGATGAGGTTAAAACAAATGGAAAAATCCTGAGCAAGACGATGATGAGGTATTATACAACACTAAATATCTCCTCCAGGAAGCGTGTGCTGACCTCCCAGGAAAAGTCAAACAGCACAGCACATGTGTAAAAGCAGGGGCTTTGGAATCAGACACTCCTGAATTGCATCTTAGCTCTGCTATTTGCTGTGTGATGTTAGGTGGATTATTTCTCCGAACTTCTTTTTTCGCATATAAAAAATCTTGTTCTAAAATTCATAAATAATGTACAGGTAGTCCCGACTTACGACAGGGATCTGTTCTGACAACTCCGTTCTGATGTAAGTTGAATACCTTTATTTTTTATAGTTTATTGACTTTTATTATTAGTTATCTTTATAAATCTGATCTTTGAACATCTGTGACTGAATATCTGAGAATGATAACATCAGCAAATTACGCACTGCAATGTTGTACGTAGTACATATTACTAACGATAAGATGTGCAAAAAAAGACGGTCAGAAGTGTGGTTCATTGTAACTAAAAAACACCATAAGTCGGGGACTACCTGTATATAAGGCAATTAGCATAGTGCCTGGCACACAGTAAATGCTCAATTCATTATGACTTCCTCTATGTTCCCACAGCAATTGGCAAGAATTTCTAGTTATTAAAAAAAAACAAAAACTGCTGCAATCATTCATATCTATTTCTTTCATTAGACTTTTAACACCTGGAGGGCAGGGACTATATTATTTTCATTTTTATATTACCAGCACATATTCGTATATAGTGCACATGGCAGGTGTTTAAGTGTATGTGGAATAAGTAACTGATACAGTGATCATATCCTGCCTGTTTCCATGACAACAATCTATTGATGTGGCTGAGAATTTTGATATCTCAGTGTCTAAAGTATATCTCTAAGACTTCCTCTTCAAACTAAAAGTAGAACATAAGTTTTTTTTTGGCCAAATCGTACTGATTTTTGGTTTTGAAAACATGATCATCAAAGCAATAAAAGCCACCAAAGGTTTATAAGAAAGGGAATAATATCACCACATCTATGTTTTAGTTACCCTTCTAACAGCAGCAAGAGGGTAATCAGCTAGAAAGCTACTGAGAGACAAGGAGGGCCCAATATAGAGGGGAAACAGCCAAGGACAAAACAAATGGGGGGTGGGGTTCTAACAGGGAAGAGGTTTTAGAGGAAGAGTATATAAGACTTGCTAATCATTGTACATGAGCATTAAAGGAGATAATGAAATCAAGAATAGCTTCCAGGTTTTTAGCTTAATTAAATAAACGAGGTTACCACTGGAAGTGGGGAACAAAAGACAAACATGCATTAGAAGGGCAGTGCAGGACTTCACATATATTAATACTGAAGTCTGATGCATCTGGGTACATGCAGTAGGAAGCTAGACTAATACAGTTGGAGCTTAGGAGAGGAGCTGAGACTGGAGACAAAAATTTGGAAATAATCAGTACGTAAATAATAGCTGAAACCACAAAAATAGATTGTTATCATTCAGGGTAAATGCATAGAATGACAATAGTAACATCAAGGAAACTCTGAGGAACACATATTTAAACAATAAATGAAGGGTAAAGGGGTCTGAGAATAGAGATATTAGGAGAAAGAGATTTAAAAAAAATAGGGCTGTGAAGGTTGAAGAACATACTTTCAAGAAGGAAGCATAATTTCAAGTGCTTAAAGAGTGTAAGAAGTAGAATGACTACTAAAATGAGGCGATTGATTTTGGCAAGCAGGCTGGTGACCTCATAAAAGTCTGAGAGAGCAGACGGCGGTCGATTGAAAAGCGAATGGAGTATTGGCACGTGAATAGATAAATGGATCAATGAAGTAGTCCACGACTGACTGGAAGGTGAGGAAGGCTGTAAATTCAGACTATTCTTTTAAGGAGTATAGCAGTAAAGCAAAGAGAAATGCAAGGCAACAGTTAAGAGTCAGAAATGAGAAAAAGGAATTTTAGGATAGAAGAGACTTTTTAAATATTGAATGACAGAGGATAAGTCCACTTTACGAGGGAATGAAACTCTAAGAGAGGCTAGACAACTGACTGAAAAAACGAAGCACAGGTCCTGGAAGAAGAAAGAAGAGAATTAAAGAATAAAGGTTTTAGCTTTGGAAATGAGTAGTGGAATATCTTTCTCCAAGACAGAAGGGAAGGGGGTGAGAGCAGTAAAGACAGAGACAGAGAGGGACAGGAGCTGAGCGAGTGTGTCTGATGGCCGATCTCTTCTCCATAAAGGGGTAAAGGCAGGCATCTAATACACAGTGGGGAGCAGGTGACAAGGTAAGTGTGGTAAGTTTTGAGGAGCTCGGGGGGTCGGGGGGAGGGATGTTAAAAGGAGGTGGTAAGAGATTAAGAATTACCAAACTATACTAAGAGCTCAGCTGAGGATGAACTCCTACAGTCTTAATGACTGCACATCCTTCCAAGAATGTGCAGCAGTAAGGAGTCACAACACGTATACACAACACGTATCCTGGGGTTCAAACTGGCAAAAGGAGTTGCAGAGGCAGACCACGAGGAGGAAGGAAACACTGGGAGGTGCTGGTGAGAGATTACTTAAAATGACTACTAAAGAAGAGGAGGGAATAAAAGGGAAGAAAATAAAGCCAGGAGCTGGCTAGAAGACAGGAGGAATTAGGAAGAGCCCAAGGATTAAAGGTTTCGGGATTAAAGGTTTTGTGAGAAAGGAAGACGAAGGACACTATGGTCAGAAAGCAATATTTCAGAGGGTCTTTCTAGATAAGTTTCTAATTCTACCTTGATCCTCTGCAAAAACAAACTGGGAAAACCAAAATCTAGGTAGGCAGAGGAGATTTTTAAACCAATTAAAAAAAAAAAAAACTTTATTGAGATATAATTCACGTACACTACATTTCTTAATCATTCTGCTATTTTTTGATACTTTTGCTATTATAAATTTAAAAATATTTGTGGTAAACACTTCTGTGCCTCCCACTATTCATAATTTTTTTAGAAGGGATCCCTACAAATGAAATTACTGAAATAAAGTATAGGAACACAATGCTCTTGAATAATATTATCAAAAGGAAGACACTTAATATTTTAGTTATCCAGACTTTTACCTCTATAAATATACATGAAGTTTTAAATAAAAACAAGAGAGTATTATACATATTGTTTTGTAACATACTCTTTTATGTAATGGTATTTTAAAAAATCTTTCTATGTCAACATATTTAGATCTACTTTACCTTTTTTTAGTAATTACAGAGTAATCCATTTTATGGCATTATCACTTTTTTAATCAACCTTCCTACTAATATTTAGATTATTTCTACTTCCTTGCTACACAAATAATGCTACAATGAATACCTTTGTAACACATTTTTGCACAATTGCCTGATTATCTCCTTGTGTAAAAATTGATGTAAGTGACATTTCCGGTTAAAGGGTATTTTTTTTAAGGCCTTTGAAACATACTCCAGACTGCTCTCCAGAAAACTTGTGCAGACGATTAAGTGCTTGCCTATTAACCAAGAAGCTGGCAGTTTGAACCCACTCGGAGGTGCCTTGGAAGACAGGCCTGGCAATCTGCTCTTAAAAGGTCGCAGCCTATAAAGCCCTATGGGGCACAGTTCTACTCTGCACACATGGGATCGTCATGAGTCAGAATCAACTTGATGGTAACTAACAACAACCAGACTGCTCTCCAGAAAAGTTAAAGCAATTAATATTCCCACATGTAATATAAATGAGATGGTTCAACCAATATCACCGTTGTAATCTTTACCAATCTTACAGGGGGAAATGGCAACTTATTTTTTATTTTCATTATAAAAATTATTATAAGACTCCGTATTCACTTACATTTATGTGTCTGTGTGAAATTTCTCTTCGTTGTCTTTTGTCCATTTTTTTTTTAAACTGGGAGATTTAAGTTTTTGTATGGATTTGTAAGATCTAGTTATATTAAAGATATTTTAATCATTTTCACTGACTGCATATGAGAACTCTTTTCCCCTGAGTTTGTCTTTTATTTTGTTTGTGTTTTTTGATGTACTGAGGTTTTTAACGTACTCAAATCTATCAATCTTTTCCTTTGGCAGGGGAAGCAGAGAGGAAAAGAAGGTTTCTCAATGAGAAAGAACTTTAATTTTCCAGAGCTGTATTCTGTGCTGTCCCTACTTCTTGTTGTTGTCAGCTGCCATGAGTTGACCCATGACTCATGGCAACGCCATGTGTTACAGAGTAGAACTGCTCCACTGGGCTTTCTTGGACGTAATCTTTATGGACAAGACAACCCTATGAAGCAGCTCTACCCTGAACACCCAGGGTCGCTATGAGTCGGAACTGACTTGACAACAACTAACAACAACAGTCTTTACGGAAGCAGCTCACCAGGCCTTTCTTCCATGGAGCCACTGGTTAGGTTCGAACTGCCAACCTTTACATTAGCAGCCGATGGCAACCTGCTTGCGCCAGGCTCTACTAAAGATAATTGGCTGATTAATACCTACTTACTTCATCAAATTGAAAACATGGTATGAATCAAGACATCTGTTTCTAAAAGAAAGGAAAATATTAACTCAGACTATACGAACATGTAAGGCTAAGTTTTAATATACCTTTTAATATTATTTCATGTTATCATTTACCTTCTGAAGAATGCCTCTAACAAGAACATAAGAAAACTTTATACTATTATCAGAACAATTTCATTAAAGAATGAAAATGGAAAATCTAACATACACGTGTCCTTTGGAACATGTCCAATTAATAAGATGGACAGATGAAGGAGACTCAGGCCCTGCCACATTATTACAGGCGAGTGGCGTCCTGTAAAAGGATTATACAGACTATCAAAGAAAGTCAATTTAAGGAAAACAGTACTTACTATTCCAGAACTAAGATCATTTCTGATGGCGTCTCATAGACTTCATGTAAATTAATGACCCAAGGATTGTCCTGTGCTAGTTCAAGTACAGCAATTTCATGAATTATTTCCATCCGACAATCTTGGCCTTTTCTTCTTTTTCTCATGAACTTGGCTGCAAATTCTTTTCCAGAATCTTTTTTTATACATTTCCTCACCACTGCAAATTTCCCCCTAGAATTAAATAAAAACATTCATTGTTAAAGTTGACAGCTTTCCAGAGATGGTAAATCTTAATAAAATTTCCAAATACCCATTGGTGGAGATTTAAATTTAGATCATATTCAGTCACAAAAATAGCAATACCACTTTGGAGTTTATATAGGAGACATCTATAATCAAATAAAATATAATTTATAAGTCTGAAATAGTCATTCTTCTAAAATGGAGAATAACTAAATATTAAAGTTAGTATTTTTACAGTGATACATAAAATGACTTAATTAATCTTGTGCATATTTACACGTTTATAAATCTTATAAAAACCATTTGACTTTTTAATAGAAATTGGGTTATCAGAATTCCTAATATAAGGAATTTTACTGTCACTCATTTACTCTAAAGAACATTATCACTTTCCAAAATGATTAAAGTTGGAGTTTTCATTCATATTATCTCATTTCAACTACAAAATCAATTGGAAATGTCTAATTTTCCTATAAAGATAGATATGACAAGCATTATTTTAACATACTACACTAAATAAACAAGCATGTCAGACAGGGGACTCAGAATAGTGTACTGATGAAGGGTGTGAGGTCTGGAACATAAGACAGAGGTGGGCTTGAGTCCTACAAGTGCCTCTGCTGCTTACTTGACACATAACCTTGGGCAATTTATTTAATCTTATTAAGTCTCATTTTCCTTATCTGTAAAACGGGAACACAAACAGCATCTACTTCACAGGGTTACTGAGAGCATTAAAAGTATATAATACATGTCAATTGCTTAGCATGGAACTTGCTACATAGTAAGTGCTCAATAAAATATCAATTAGACAAATCATTAAGCTGTGATAGTAATCACCCATAAAATATCCAAGGGAAGGGGTATTTAGACTAGAAGGCAACTTAGAAATCATACAGCTTTTAACTAATGCCAAATGCCAAAATGTCTTCCTTCTAAATGTGAGGTAGTCTATTCCATTACTGGAGGCATGTTATTTTAAGGTTTTCATTACAAGCCTAAACCTGATTTCCTATAAATTCAACTGAAAGGCTGTAGTTCTGGGTCCTTGGCTGAGCAGCACAGAATAGATCCACTCACTCTCCCACATGACAAGTCTATCAGAAACTTGAACACAGCTATCATCATCTTAGAGAAGCCCTGGTGGCAGAGTGGTTAAAGTGCTCGGCTGCTAAATGAAAGGCTGGCGGTTTGAACCCATCAGCCGCTCTGCGGGAGAAAGATGCGGCATTCTGTTCCCTAAAGATTTACAGCCTTGGAAACCCTATAGGGTAGTTCTACTCTATGCTACAGGGTCACTATGAGTTGGAATCAACTCAATGGCAATGGTTTTTTTTTTTTTTTTTTTAATCAGTATCTGTTAAGTGCCACCTCCTCTTCCCTTTCCCAATTAATTATGAATCATTCTTCATACCCATATGGTTTTTTGACCCCCTCACAAATATGGCTCATCAGAACTGCCCCTAAAACATGCCAACCAAATCTGAAGCAAGTACTCCAAGTATAATCTGATCCATGATTGTTAGTGTTACCTGATTATTATTTTGCTCACTTTGACATAATACAATTTAATACTGCTTTTTAAAAAACTCGACTAAGTTTTTCATATTTTATATTGGGCTGGTAAATAAACTATCTAGATCTTTCTCTTCATGGACTTTGTCAAGCCGTATCCTCAAACTATATTTTAAAAATGGCTTTAAAAAATTAAATGTAAGGCATTAATTTGCCCAGTGAAATTCTAACTTCTAGGTTTTGGCCCAGTAGTCTAGACTAGTGACATAATTTTGAGTGTTACGTCTTCCTTCTTAGCTCCTGTTAACCACAAATATGATTTTCATGTCCTCTATATTTTTGTTGCTCATCAGTAATAAAAAAGCTGAATGATAAATCCTTAGGCACAGTCCTATGGCTGTTTGGGTAACAATCTACCTAACAAAATCATTATTCAGATTACAGTTCTTTTTGTTTGTAGAAATAGGAAAGTCTTCTACAGATACTGGGGAGATCAAACCTAAACATATTCACCACAGACGAATACTTCCTTTTTTTCATCCCCACAAAATCATTAGACTAACACCCCCCCTTCAAGTTTTTTAAAAATTTCTTAATGACCTTTGAATTCTTTTAAGAAAAAAAAAAAATTAATAATTGATTTTTTTGTGCCTACATTTTAGGAAGTTTCAAGAGAAAATTTAATTTGTAAAAACTAATCACAAAATGAAGTCTTAACATATAATTGACAGCAAGCATGTTCCTAGTAAAATTAGAAATGACTCAGTTCAACTGCCTTCAAAGTACTTCCACATCAAACACATAAATGCTTATTGTTGCCACACCTAAAATTCAAAGCATTACAGTACTGTGCAGTCAGTAAAATACTACTTATTATCTAGCCTGAAAGTATATTTTTGAAGACCAGATGGGAAGACAAATGATCAGGAAACAGAGAACTGGACTCACATACATCACTGACCTACAAACAGAACTGTTGTTAGTTGCTGTTGAGTCGATCACGACCCATGGCGACGCCATGTGTGCAGAGCAGAGTTGCTCCATGGGGTTTTCAAGCTCTACTTCAGTTTGATAAGGCTATAAATTCAGCACTTGCTCAGAGGGTTAGGAACTGACTCAATTTCAGGGGCTTTCTAAGTATATGCAGATTGTGCGATAATGTGTGCACTTTTGTTTTGAATAATGTTGAATTCAGAGAGATGACAGAGTGTGTTAAAGGGGAAAAAGTGAAAATTGTACCCTGTGATGGTAAAAATACTGGCTGTGATGCTACAAATGAGCAGGAAAAAATGGCTTTTTTATGCCATCTTCTGTTACTATTCATCACTTTTTGAAGAGAAGGGATAGAAGAGACTTAAAATTTATTCTGGCTATGCAGAAATGATGACACTGTGCTATATACTATGAGAGAATTCCAGAAGAAAGAAGCTTATAACTGTCGCCTCTTACATTACCTTCATTATACAGCATGAAGAAATAGAACTGTTTTTTTTTAAATGACAAATCAGAAGTTGTTGCCTCCATTCCAAGATTCTTTAATAAACTCATTTTCCTCTGGGTAGGTTTGAACCACCAACCTTCGGGTTAGTAGTAGCCATTACTAAACTCTCTGTCTGCTGTCAGGCTCATCCGTCGCCCATTTCTTTAGGTCACCAGAACACAGTTCCCATGGCTCTCCTGTCACCCCAATGCCTACTCTGACACCATTTTTGTTTTTGTGGAGGCATTTCTCACTGCTTTAGGTTTATTCTTTTCTTTCCACCATATCATACACTATACTGGGAGTCGGAAAACTCTCTCTGTAAAGGGCCAGACAGGAAATACTTTCTCTGTAAAGGGCCAGACAGGAAATACAGCAACTACTCAACACTGCCACAGACAATACATAAATGAATGGGTGTGGCTGGGTTCCAAAAACACTTTATTTATGGGCACTGAAATGTGAATTTCATATGATTTTTCACTTTAGTAAATATTGCTCTTTTTTTTTATTCTTTTCAACCAGTTAATGATGCAAAACATGTTAGCTCACTAGCCATACAAAAACAGGCAGCCACAGTAGTTTGCTGACCCCTGCTCTATCCAGTGCTGAGGAAAACTTAAATCTTCTGCTGCTGCAGACCACTGAAACTGACAGGAAGACAGCAGACCACAAAGGCTTGAGGAAACAAGCATACAATCTTCATCTCTAAATGAGTGGCACAATGGGAGGGGGACCCTGAAAACCACTAAAGGAGGAGTCAGAAGGAGATAGAGATTTCTGGGAACTGTTCTTTCTGGAGAGCCAAATCTTCAAAGAAACGTGAGATTCGGCATTCAAAGTGCAGAGTCCTAGTGAACACACGAAGCATTACACTATCATCAAAAAACAATCAAACAAAAAACCCAACTCGGTGCTGTGGAGTCGATTCCAACTTACAGCGACTTCCAGACCCCAAAAAGGGCCCCAATATGCATGTTAACCATGGCTTCACAGTAAAGACTGTGACTTTATCTTAGCTCTTAACTTTGTATTACTAAGTCCTCTACAAAGCATAAGAAAGGATGTTCTTCTGACACTAGGGGCTGCAGACTTGGGAATGATGAAATTCAAACAGCATAAGTTGTACTTAAACACATCGGTTTTTTTGGTTGACTTAAAAGTCAGAATTCTTCTTGGAATACATAGTTGATACAATTTTCTGAGCTACTGATTCATTTCCCAGTCATCTACTATTAAACTATTACCCACAAAACAGAGCACTTAGGTCATCAAACATTTTAGGGGATATAAAAAATTAACATCATACTTCTGAACTACTCAATGATGAACAACATATTCCGGGGTGGTGGGTTAAGAAAGACATAAAACAAATAATTATTAAAAAGAGGAGGCGACATCTGAGTTGGACCCACCATTCCAAGCTCCCGAAGGACGAAGACTAGGTGTATTCATCTAACACAGTGCTTCGGCAGGCACAGTGAGCACTTCTTGGTAGGTATGACTTGCTAAGGAGTTTGGCTTCGACAGGATAAAAATGTGCACCTATCAGAATTTTTAAAATAAGGTAATTGTTTAAAAAACATAATTCTGATAATGTTGGGAAGTGATAACTTGAACCAGGGAAGCCAATAAAATAACTCAAAGGAGTGGGCCTAAACTAAAGTAGCTGCAGTGGAGAACGGGATGAGAGAGTGCATTTAAAATACATTTCAGCTGCAGATTTATTAGTATTCCTTGACAGATTAAGATGCAGGCAGAGATAAGGGGAGAAAAGAGAGATGGAAGTCGAGGATGACTTCTAGATATTTAGCCTGGGCTACTGGGTAAATGTGCTACCATCAGCTGAGATAAGGATTGTAAGAATAATAGGTTTTAGGGCAAGGACAGTGTATTAGGTTTTGCATAAAGGAAGTCTGAGGTGCCTTTCTCTGTGAAAAGAATCCTATTTACTGGATAGATTGAAAATTAAGTTCAAATGTTGGGTTATAAA